AAGGAGGGTGATCCTCGATGAGAAGAATTGACACAGTGGCTGCAAAAATGGGCTCAAACATAACAAGTAATAGGATAGCAGCAAGGACTGGGCAGTTTCTCTGCCATTCATTCATTGCTATGAGTAGGATCGGACTTGGTGGAACTTGACCAAACCAACAATACTTGTATTTGTGCAAGTTACACATGAATATTCACATATACAAATATGTATATTGTGCGTGGCCAAGTAAATTTGCTCATAAGTACAATAATGGGGGAGTGAAGTTACTTTTAAAAAATTCTTTATAACAGAAATATGAACAATATGTAATTTTAAGTCTATTAAGAGTATGATAGAGCTTCCAATTGTTTTGGTCAGTTAAGTTTCATCTGATATGGGTCATGTTTTTAAAACTGCTTTTTCTAAATTGACTACCATATTCACAGTTTGGGTGAATGTCCTATTGTGTTAAATTGAAACATGCAATATGATTATTAAATTCATTATACAGGTATGAACCTTTTTTGTAATCATCAAAATGAACAGTATTATATGACTTAGTGTTGTCAATAGCCTATAGTTCTGGGCCAATGAGGAATTCTAAATGGGTGTTGTATAAAATCACATTTGCTTTACACAACTCCTGTCTCCACAGCACCTGTTCTGATATTTTATTTTTCTGTAACAGAGATTTTTAAAACAGATGATCTCTTTGAAATCACAATATGAGAATGTAACAGCATCGAAATAGTTGATAGGCTCTTATTTGCCGAATTTCTCAATTATTGTTTTGCGAGCAGTGATACTGGTGATTCTTGGTATATAAAGTTACCCTGGTTGGGATTTAAAGGTGACTAACAGTGACATATTTCTCCTAATTTAATCATCTGAAAGAAAACGTCAGGAGAATTTTCCCAGAGAGACGAGATGAAAGGGAAAGTGCTGCCATCCGTCACCATGTGCAAGGTGTCATTGCTGTGCCTGCATGGTTTGTACTGCCATGGTTAACTATCAGTCCCCTTGCCCATTATAAACCCCCTGAGCTTAGAGCTCAGCTGTAAAAATGTGTTCTGCAAGAGAACCCTGGCAGCCTCAAATATAGAAAGAAGAAGCTAGACAAGTGTGTGGAGCGGAATTCCTCTTGCCCAGTGATGTTCATGCCCTGATGAGCAGAAAGACTTTGGGGACCAGATTTTCTCTACTTCTACATTTCCACCCTTTGCTCCCTCCCCAGAAACCCTCCCCATGCCCTTCCTCACCCCCGCATGTACCTTGCCTTCTTATTCTAATTAATATGAAGAATAATGTGGCTTTTAGTGAGAGACACATTAGGAGGTATATTAAGAAATCATATTATATCAAATGCATTATATATAAAACATTACATCATATGCTGTTATTAATTCATGCCAGAAACAAGTATATAAGCTGTATCATATTAAACATATTAATGTTTAAAAAGCTTCCAGACTACAACCAGGACCGTTGCCAAGCACAGCAGGAGCGTACGTGTCTAGGATGTCATTCAGCAGCCTTTATTTGGGAATTTAAATTTTAACAGTGGAAAACATTAGACTATGTGGTATAAGAGGGGCATAGATACTGCTCCAGAGAAGTGTTTAGTTAACAAAAGAAATCTTTTTACCTACTCTAGCTTAAAATATTTGCAAGCTCTAAAAACGGCCCCTATGTGAGATGCATGACTCTAATCTGACCTTGTGACAGATTATATGCAAAGACAGATTTCGATGTTCAACAATGAAGAATTACTGTAATAAAAAATACTTTTCCTCAACCTGCCATCAATTTCTAAGCCAAAAGAAAGACTTAATGAGTTTAATTGGCCAATTCAACAAAATATTTCAAGACATAAAATAAATTAGAGGAAGGGCATACATAAATCTCTTCCATTTCTAATACAAATCACTTAAAATAAACTTTTAAATGAAAATGAATGCTGCTCTTTAAAATATATAGTTTCTACATCAAGATGAGTTAAATCCTGTACTTAAAATATAGAGTCTATTGTAGTTGAGTGTTAGAATGAGAAAATTATAGAACAATATAATTAATATCATATGCAAGTAAAATTGTGCTGAAGATAATTTAAAAAATGACTGCAGCCACACCTCAACAGGGAATTGCCAGAAATTCAAGCCAAATTCAGATGAGGATGCGGAGCATAGGATACCGTTGCTAATGTCAGGTGTGTCTTGACTAAAAGCACAGAATATCAGAAATATATTTACCAGTGTTTTATTTACCATACTAAGACATTCAGCTGTGTGGAGTAGTGGGTTATGCACCAGGCTGCTAACCACAAAGTCAGCGATTTGAAACCACTAGTTTCTCCACAGCATATGAGGCTTTCTACTCTTTTCAAGAAGTACACTCAGGTCAATTCCAATTCATAGTGATTCATAGGGGCCCCATAAGACAAGTTATAACTGCCTGTGTGGGTTCTGAAACTGTAATTCTTTGTAGGAATAGAAAGCCTCCTTTTTCTCCCACGAAGCCCTTGTGGTTTTGAACAGGTGACCTTGCAGCTACTCCATACTTTCTATTATTTGGAGAGACCATTTCCTGTAGAAGGACATCATGCTTAGTAAAGTGGAGGGACGGCGAAAAAGAGAAAGTCCCTTGATGAGACAGATCGACAAGACTGAAACCTAAGAACAATTGTGAAGCCGGTGCAGAACTGGGCACAGGTTTATTCGGCTGTACCTGGGGTTGCTATGACTTGGAACCAAGTTGATGGGGAGGCCCTCTGGCGGTGGTTAGGTGTTGGGCTGCTAACCCTAAGGTCAGCAGTTTGAAATCACCTGCTGCTTCTTGGTACAAAGAGGGGGCTTTCTACTCCCTGAAGAGTTACAGTCTTTGAAACTCAGAGAGGCCATTCTACCCTGTGTTACACGACTGCTATGAGTTGGCACCCGCTTGATGGCGGTGAGGAAGCAATAACAACAAAGGGTTACACTCTAGGAAACCGACATGGAAGTTCTACCCTGTGCAAAGTTTCACCGTGAATCAGAATTGACTCAATGGTAGGTTTGTTTTTCCTTGGGTGGGGGGAGGGGGTTGTGGAGTGAACAATGAGAATTTTAAAACACTGACAAGTTTTCATGTGGAACCTGTCCATAGATCAACAAGTAGTCATTCAAACAGAACAAGGGAAAATGTCATGGTTTAAAATCCGAGAAGGTGTGACTTAAAGTTGTGTCACTCGCCAGACTCAATGAGTCTTTATGGTGAGCAAATAATCAGATAAAGGAGACTATCTGATGATGAACATGGCATCAGGTTTAGAGGAAGGCTCATAACAACCTGTGATATGCAGATGACTCAATCTTGCTTGCTGAAATTGATCAAGGCTTAAACATATTTACTGATGAAGATCAAAGACATTGGTATGGATTACACCTTAACATAAAAGAAACAAAAGTCTTCAAGACTGGACCAAGAGGTAACATCAGGATAAATGGAGAAAGATTGAAATTGTCACGGATTTCATTTTTCATAGATCCACAACCAATGTCGACAGAAGCCACAGCTAGGTAATCAAAGGACATAGTGTCTTGGGCAAATCTGCTGCAAAACTTCTCTTTAAAATGTTAAAGAGCAAAGAATTCCCTTTGAGACCGACCCAAACCATGGCATTTTCAATTGCCTTGCAGAGACGTGAAAGCTAGACACTAAGCAAGGAAGCCTGAAGAAGGGATCCCTTTGCATTCTGGTGAAGAGCACCGAACAGACTCCCGACGAGCAAATCCTACTTGCATGAAGTACAGCCAGGGTGCTCGTTACAATGAAAGAAGGCAAGACTGTCTGATGTGCTTTGGACATATTATGACGAGAGACCAGTTCCTGGAGAAGTACACTGAGCTTGGTAAGTAAAATATCACTACACATTTTTTGCTTTTTACTTTTATTTTCTTGTTTTTTGACATAGAAAGTTGTATGAATTAAATTAAGATATTTTTTGTCTTTATATTGATGCATATATATTTCAAAGTTGATAAATGTTCTTTAAAGGGTATTTCATATTCAAAAAAATAATATGAAGATCACCAACAAGAAGGACGAATGTCATTGGTGCAACAACGAACAACCTTAAACAAAGCAATGACAGTGAGGGTCGTGCAGGACTGGGCAGTGTTTCATTCTGTTACACACAGAATAGCTCTGACTCAAAATGGACTGGCTGGTATTTAACAAAAGCAACACAAATATAATGTTATAATTGAGTGATAGGATCTATTGCAAACATTTTCATTGCTGTGTTCTAAGACAAAATTCACCCAAATGTTTAATGCTCTCAATTTCATTTTAGAAGGTGGCATATGTGTGTGCTAGTTAAGGCTTATTGTGCCAACCTGACCAATGAACACATGTGGGATTAATTGAAGGGCAGTTTAATTGAAGGGCGGAGAGATAAATGGCTCGGTGAGCCTTGCCTGTCTTGTCCCTTGTTCTCTGATGGTTGGACCCGTGTGCGGCTGCCTTAGCTGGTTCTCTGCCGCAGCTGGCAAGGATAACTTCTTGTGAGACAGCACTGAGGAGAAGCCACATGGACCTACCCTGATGCAGCCCTGGGTGGTGGAAAAGTTGCGTGGAGACCCCTGTCAGTGCTGAGATGTTTACACGTTCACTGATTCGGCTTTTCTCCTGCCGTCGGCGTCTTTGCTTGTGCTTTGTGAGTTTGAGGAGGCTTTGTAGCTTGGTGTCTGATACATGGGCTAACGTCGGAATTATGGGTTTGGACTGGACTGCGTTGGGATGCTTTCTTAATGTTCACTAACCTTTTATATAAAACTCTCTCTTATACATATATCATTTTCTGTGGATTTGTTTCTTTAGTCTACCCAGACTGATACAATGTGTATATTATTTAATTATTGGTTGGGTTAGTTACTGCAAACATTTTGGATAGGTCTGCAATTATTCAATTAAGATGGTTTTATTGAATAGACATTTTCTAAGAGATGTAGAATATATTTAATGCTAGGAAAAATCCATACCTGATTTTTAAGTAATCAATAATAGCTTTGGCTTGTGTAACATCAAAGATATTCCATTCATCATTTTTTCCTAAATGGCATGGTCCTACTTCAGCCATAACTTCTCCCACCCATTTTATGCTGTCTTCTAAAGACATATGGAGTGCTGAAATAGAATACAGAGAAATGTGAAACATTATACTGAAAAGAACTTTCAGAGCAAGATAAGCCAAGACATCTTTAATGTGAAAAATTTTACTTTAGTAGGTGCAAGGACAAATGGTAAAACTTGTTTGTATATGAAATAATACTTTTGTGTAAAAGACAAACTCAACCACTCTGAACTACTATGAAGCTACACAGTTGTCTGATGAGTTTGTGTTTCCATTTCAAGATAAAGAGCTCTATCTGAAGAGTGTTTCAAAGTGGAAAGGAAATTTTTCTGATCTGAGAAATAAGAACATATCAGAAAGTGATTTTTAAAAATGGTTTGGCTTAGCTGGTGAATAAGGTTCAATCGTAGACTGAGGTGCTGAACTTCGTGCTGAAAATGTAAATAGATGGGCTCAAACAACACTTGGCTTTATATGATTGTTATCAAGTGGGATTTGGGGCATGGAGATTGTCCACAGAAGCCAGAAATAAAGATTTTTATGTAAAATACAGTACCAAGTTTTTTTTTTCTTTTCCACAACCAAACATTTATAACTCAATATAAATTGTTTCTCAAGAGGGGTGATGTTAAGAGCCAGTAGAAAAAGTCAAAGAATAACACAACTTCACTAACATCATCAAAAGTAGTTGCTTAATGATTCTAGTCTGGTTTTCAATATCTAAAACAACAAAAACAAAAATCCAAGACCAAAACAAAACCAACTAATCATCCAAGTAAACGAAACTATGGTTTTTGAAAAGAGAGCAAACTTGCTGTGGCTACAAGGAGGCCAGCTAGCAGAGTGGGTTATGCATTGGGCTGTTAACTGCAAGGTCAGTAGTTTGAATCTACCAGCTGCTCAGCAGGAGAAAGATGAGGCTTTAGACTCCATAGGGTTATGATCTCCAAGATCCATAGGGGCAGTTCTGCTCTGTCCTATAGGGTCACTAGGAGTTGGCATCAACTCAAGGATGGTGAGTTTGATTTGGTTTTATTTGGAGGAGGAGAAGGTAGGAAAGGCTAAGAGTAGAGCGGTATTAAGGTTCTATCTAGAGACTCACTGTAGTGGCTGCTTGGAGGGAAGAGATCATCTGGAGGGGGGATTTCAATTGGAAACATTTAGGGGAAACCTTGAGTTTGTGTTAGTGGTATAACTCACTCCACACCTCAGGACCTTCTTCTGTATCAGAACATAGGGAATCCCTAGTAATGTTTAACCTCAATTTTTATCATAAAATTGTATCTGCTATCATTGTAAATTATTTAAATGCAATATTAACTAGGTTATAGGAGTACTAATAACAAACTTGCTCCATGCTCACAATTGTTCTTATGTTTGTTGCTGTCGCTATGTTCGTCCATGTTGTTGAGGGCTTTCCCTTTTTCGATGACCATCCACTTTAAAAAGCATGATGTCCTTCTCCAGACTGGTCTCTCCTGACTGACCACAGGCCCAAAGCACGTGAGACAGAGTCTCTCCATCCTTGCATCTAAGCAGCATTCTTGCTGTACTTCTGCCAAGACAGATGTTTCTTCCTTTGGCAGTTCACGGTACTTTCAATATTCTTCACCAAGACACGGTTCAAATGCACTGATTCTTCAGTCTTCCGGAGTCAGTGTCATTTCACATGAATATGAGGCAACTGAAAATGCTTTCGCTCAGATAAGGTGTGCCTAGCCCTCAAAGTAACGTGTTATTTGGAATTTTTGTGCATAGATTTGTCTATTCTCCCACGTCTAATAATATATGCAATTATTAATTTACATCAATGTAGACTCGCGGATATTTATCTTACCATGTGCTTATAATCCAATGCTATGTTATTTTGTTGTTGAAATTGTTCCACCTTGGGACACTGGGGGCTTTTTCAGTTTGCTGTTGTATTCTTGGACATACTGTCCCACCTTCTTTTGAAATGGCACTTATAGACACTTTGGGGCACAACATGCTCCAGGCTCATGTTGCTTATACGAATATTCATTACTCAACCCTCCAAGTATTCACATTCTAAGGAGACCTGGTTCCTTTGTAGGAAAGTGGAATTATAAATGAAGATTTGGGTGCTAGGTATGTTGGTTGTTACTGGGGTAACATTGCTTCTAAGCCTCTCAGCAGACAGAGCCAATAAATATTATGTGAGTGTAAACTAACTTAAATATACATACATACATATCCATGAAAATGGTGCAGGGACCCTATCTGACCTTCTCTGACTACACAGCGGAAAAAGAGAATTCAACTCCACACCAACCCAGGGTCAATTGCCACAAGGCAGGGGTCGACATGCCCTCCATGCTCCTTTTATCCTAGTCTGACACCAACTCTTCCTCCCGCATCATGCTGCTTGCCTGCTGGGTTCAATAATTCTCTGCAACGGCCACAGAGAACTCACAGGCAAAATTTACAATCAGGGTTAACTGTTTACCGCAAGTCAAGATCAACAAGCAGTGAGGGTGCAGTTATTGGTCCACAACAGCACCTCTCTTCAGCCAGCAGCCAAGTCTCAGATCCTCAGCCTCTCAGCCATGCGGTACCTTGGCCTCTCTCTGCCTCTTGGGGCCAGGCAGCCTTCCTACTGCTCTGCCTCCCAATCTCCTAGTCTTTGTGTTATGCGTCTACTTCAGCTCCGGTCTTTATATGGCTCCTCTCTTTCCTCTATCCTATTATCTACTGCAACCTCTGGTGCCTCTGTTCTTAGCTTCTACCTCTCTTGCACATACTTTTTCTTAATGACCCTGAGATTTCTCTCTCTGCTTCCAAGGTGGCTTTTAGACACAGAGGAAAGGCTTTGATTGGGGTGTGATTTTGTCTTTCAGCACACCATATCCCCAAGGTAACAAAGGGAAGCGATTTGGCTCATACCGTCTAGTAAGGTGGAGACTCAGAATACATCACACCTTAATCCTATCTATTAGCATAGCATATTTACATTGTGAAAAATTAATCCATGCTACTGACTCCAACTGATGTTTCTAGCATTTTGCACTTACAAACGTTACTGTAACAAATAAGTTTGCTTGTATGTTTGGTTATATGCATGCAAGTGTATGAGTAGGATAAATTCTCTTAAGTGGAATGTCTGGATCAATGGGACGGTGTATTTGCATATTTGATATGCAACACAGGTTTGCCTTTATTTTTAATTAATATTTCATCGTAATTTGGGTGAAAGGGTACACAGCATGCTAGGTTCCACACAAAAAACATGGGGTATTTTTCTATTTCCATCAGCAATATATGATACATTCTTGCAGCTTTGACAACTCAGAGAATTACAAAATTTAGATTTGTTAATCTGGTATGTTGCAAATGACATTTCTGTGTATTTTTAATTAGCATATTTCTTACCATTAAGGTTGAGCTTTCTCATTTGTTTAAGAGTCATTTGTATTTGCTCAGCCTTATCTTTAGTACTTTGCTATTGATTAGATATTTTTCTTCCTCGTTTCTGTATTATCTTCTTCTGGTTGCTGTTTATTTTATTTATTTAATGTTTATTTTAAACTTTTTACCGTGAATTAGGTGAAGGTTTACAGATAATCAGTTTTACATTCAATAATTCCTACACATTTTATTTCATCTCATTCATTACAATCTTCTCATTTTACCATCACTTATCCCATGTCTCAAGTCTTTTTGCCTTTTCTCCCCCTAATCCTTCCTTGGGTAAATGCTGCCCTTTTTATCATGAATGATGGAGTATATTAAGGGGTGCATAGCTAGTATTATTGTTCCCCTGATAGACCTATTATTTGGACCACTGAAATATGGATCATTGGAGTGAGTTCAATCCCAGACCTGAAGGGCGACTAAGTGCCAAAGTCGGGAATTCTTGCCTGTGAACCTGGTTTCTTTTATTTCATGATTTTGAGGGTTTTTTCCATATTCTCCCTCAATTTATCCAGGACATTAAAAGTGATCTCTTTCAGAGCAGCCGGTAGCAGGTACCATCTAGTTTCCATGATCTCAGGGTCCTGGAGATTGATGTTTTCACGGTCCATTAGCCCATCCAGCTAATTGTTTCCATTCATCTTTCAATATTAATCATTCATCTTTTGTCCAAAGAGGGAGAGAGACCAAGAGTTTCACATTAGATGGTTGCTCATAGGCTGTCAAGGGGTACTTGGTGTTGTAGGGGTAATGCTGTTAACCATACGGCTGGCAGTTCAAAACCATGAGCTGCTTCAGGGGAGAAAGATGAGGCTTTCAACTCCCCAAAATAGTTACAGTCTCAGAAACTCTCAGGGGTATTTCTACCCTGTCCTATAGGGTTGCTATGAGTTTGCATCGGCTGGATGGTAGTGAGTTCACGTGCTTTCAAGACCACAGTCCTGCTTATTAAAGTAGACTATAAAATGTTGTCTTTGTAAATTTTGCTATGCCAATTGACCTTAGTGTCTCCTGAGACTATGGTCTCAATCCTCTAGATCCAGAGACTCAGTCCTTCAAGTAGTTGTGTTAAATCTAACATGCTTGTAGAACTGCCCACTGCCCCCATGACATACCACATTTGCAGATCTATCTGCAGCAAAAGCTATTACGTTATATTCCCTCTTTTCAACATTGACCAAAGCTGCTCCTTCCATTGGTCATTATGAGGTACCCCAAATTGTATACAAGATGAGATGAAAACAGTTCAAATAATAAAAATATCTTAATACATTTGAACTATTTTATTGGCTTTATGGGGAAAGGGGTGGGGATTGGAAGATACTGATAGGATCTTAAATGAATGAAAATATCTTTGGTAAATTAATTATGAGAATTTGGTCTTGTTAGGTATAATTTGAGGTTTTACAACTCAAAGAGATGAACTGTATCTTTGCTATATATGTAGGAAAGAAATAATTTTCATTAAAATAAAAGGAGAAATCTGCATCTAGTGACATAATTTAGACAGAAGACTAAATATAACTTTCTGTAGAAAGAGAAAATGTATACTTACTTTTAAGATTATGAAGCAACATATCTAGCAAAGTCATAAACTTTGAATACTGAATAACAGAGAAGTCCATCCCTTGAGCCCACAAAAATCCAGATGCATAATAATCTAATAGAATAGCTTCCTTTAAACTAGTTTGAAGATCTTTGAAGTTCAAAAACTCTTGCAGTTTTCTGTAATCAAATAGAAAAGCTAGATATTAAAATAAACTTAAATTCTCAGGAGTTCATATTTTAAAAGCTTTGAAAACTTAAATATTTTTGTTGAATGAAAATTCTATACTATTCATACCTAAATTAAAAAAAAACACACACACAAAAACCCCTCAAACCAAACCAGGTGCTGTGGACGCTGATTCATAGTGATCTGACGCCTCGGGTGGTTCAGAGTGGAACTGTGCTCCATAGGGCTTCCCACAGCTATCACCTTTCTGAAGATCACCATTCCTTCTGTGGTGCAAATGGTTGCATTCAAGCTTCCAACTTTTGTTAGGAAGTGAACACTTAGTAGTTGGAGCCATTCAGGGTCCTAATTTTAAAACAATCATCATTGTCTCAAAATATGTAAATCCAAAAATAATGCTCAAACAAAAAATAGAGAGGTAAAAAGGTGAACTCACAAAGCACCACTGGAGCTAATTATTTCATCCATTCCTTATTCTGAATGATCTTTCTGCAATAAACCACTAAGGGTGGAGTTGCTGGATTAAATTGGACATGGTGAAATGAATGCATTGTTAAACTTCCTTCTAGAAAGTTAATGACAACTTTTTCCTCTCTCAACATCATAAAATAGGGCCTATTCCTAACCCTATCTAGTTTGGGTTTGTTAGTAATTTTACTATCCATCAGGCTGATAGGGGAAAAAATACTACAGTGTGCATTTCTTTGCTTGTTAGATTTGACACCTTTTAAATATCCTTCTCTATGGTTGCCTTTTCTTTTCCTAATAACTTCTAAGACCCTTTTGTATATAGAGAGATATTACTCCTTTATTTGTTTTTTTTTTTACTCCTTTATTTGTTTGTGATAAAATTTTATCTATAGGGAGAGGAGGAAGTTAGGTTACTTTATTTTCTCATTTACACCCGGGGGCTTTTATTTTTTATATAGGTTAAGTGTCAACTTGGCTGGGCCAAGATCTTCAGCAGTTTTTCACTTAAGGCATTCCCCATGATGGGATCTGAAGTAATGTAAACCACTCCATGATGGAATGTATTGTGAACAGCCAAGTAGATGTGAGATGGTTAAAGTGGCTTCCAATTGAAGGTCAGTTTCTTCAAGAGTGTGGCCTACTCCTATAAAAGAGACTCTGCATGGTTGCCTCCCTCCTTACTGGGTCTACATCCTGAACCTGTCTCAAGCACCTCCCATTTCTCTGGACTTGAACCAACAGAATGCTATATTGCCTGCTAAGCCTCTGAGCTATCAGCAACCTGCCATAGTGCCTGCTGATCCAGGATTCATTTGCTTCTGCCTCACTAGCCTGTGGTCTTCCTGTTTTCTGATTCACCAGCCCTGGCAGCGATGTGAGTCAGGAAAAAAGGCTCCAGCCTAACATCTGACCCACAGACCTCACCTGGACTGAACTTGCCTGTTATAAAAATGTGTGAGCTATTTTCTTGATATAAATTGCTTTCTAAGTGCACACACATTTATAAAGAAATATGTATATGTAGATATATATAATATATATTATATATACAAACATATATAAAGAAATTTATACATGTACAAGGGGGTATCCTCCCCAAAATGTAATTTTTTTTCAAGGCTAGGTATTTACATTTTTTCACAAAACAACCTTGTCACCTTCAAAATGCTCTGCGTTACACAAATCTGCGATTCCATTCTTGGAAACATTTTTCAAACTCATCTTTTTGGATGGCTGACACATCTCTTCTCTGTCCTCAAATTGCTTACTGTCCTTTGATGTCCCTCTTCATTCATGGAAACAAAAAGAGTTCGCATGGAGTATGGTCAGGAGAGTAAGATGTATGGTGCAAGACAGGCATGCTGTTTTTTGCCAAAAACTGGTGCACTGAGATTGGTTTCATGAGCGGGTGCATTGTCATGGTGGCAAAACCAGTCCCCCATCTGCCACAAATCAGGCCCTTTTTTTGGTGGGGGGGGAGTCACACACTGTTATGCAATCTTTCCAGAACCTCTAAATAGAAAAGCTTGATTAACACTCTGACCTAGTGGAACACACTGCAAAGGTACTACAAGTCAACATTTTCATCCATTCAGGAAGTGGATGGACACATAAAACAAAGCTTGCCATCAATCGACATTTCACCTTTTTTGAAACAAGAAATATGCTCATACATTTGATTGCTGCCCTTTGAGTTGTGTTCTACATCACAACAGATTTTCTGTCATTTTTCCTGAGCAGGAAACACAATTTCACAGCTGCATGCTGTTCTCTTAAATCGGCCATCAAAAAAAAAGAAGTTCAAGTGAAACTGCTTTTAC